CTTTTCTTTTTTTTTTTTTTTCTATGTCACTTAATTTGTTTGTTTATACCATCTTTGTAATATGCCTGCCTTGATTTTCTCCCCTCCCCTGTCCCCACTGATAATATGCATACTCATTAAAGATGCCGTATCCCTGTTCTGAGCTGTTATGGTCCCAATCACAAGAGTGCGGTCGTAGCTCAATGGCTTGGAAATGGCCGACGTCCCCTCGCTTTTCAAAACCGACCATCCTGTTCCTTCCCCTCCCCACGCCGTCTTTCCCCGCCGTGGAGATCGGCTTTGCCGGTGATCCACCGCCACCAGGTACGGTTCAGGTGGCTTCTTTGGGATTTGGTACATCCCGGGACCAAATGCCACCCACTGCAGCTCCCTTCAAGAGGAGGAGGGGGGCGATTTCACATACAGAGTTGGTGGGTACAGCCCTGACTTGCGGACGCAGCTTTGCTTTGCTTCTGTTTTAGCTGTTTCTCTGCCACCTTTTCAGCAGATTTCTTATTACACTGCACTGGATTGCTATATTTTTAACCAGAAATAAACTAAGGATTAGAGCATGTGCCAGTTAAATTCAGTTCTTCTCCTTACATGGTCTTATTCCCTCCTGTCGCAGTTTTCCTTCCTCTTTTTCTCCCTTTCCCTTTTCAGGCAGAGAGCTATGGGTGGACAGGGTGAATGATAACTGAAGGCAGCAAGACCCCAGTAACTGTTTTTATTTCATTTTCCACAGTAACTGTCCATCGTCTTCACACCTTTTTTTTTTTTTTTTCCTTTTTTTTTTTTTTGGTTCTTCCTTTTGGGTCCTTCGTCATCTTTTTTTACTCTCAAATGGCTGCTGCATACTTGAAACGAACCAAATAACGACATACTGTGACTGCAGCCCTAGGAACTCATCCCTGCATTTTGTAATTCTGGTTGCAACTCTTTGTAAAGACCCTCGAGGACTTTTTTTTTTCTTTTTTGTACATTCGAGTGCATGACAGGAAGGCCCCACCAGGAGCAGGTTAAACAATTACATGCAAACACCGTACGATATTTAGGTATATATAAAACGGCACAAAAATGCCTCTTGTTATCCATCAAATAGAAGTACTAGGGATTTCACAACTAGCTTTTCCCCACTAGTTATTCCTGCTCTTGCCCATGTCCCAGCAGTTATGTACAAACACAACTTGGATTTTTTCATCTCTCTCTTCCACAGGATAAAACCTCAGTCGAGCTGAGGTTTGTTCAGTATGAAGGATAGCCGAAGACTAATATTAATTGGCTCCCAAACCACGTGTTTAAAAATAATGATTCCTTTATTAATCACAGGGAGCTGAGCAATTTGTCTTAGTTCTGGGCTTTTCGCATTTGCCCAAGGCCAGAAATATTCTTGAGAAGTAGCCCAGAGAGAGAGGTAATTCAGCATATTTCCCCGTCTTACGAGCCCTGGATTCATGCATATCTACCTAAGGCACATTAAAACGTCTATCATCCTGGCATATAAATCTATGCAAATTGTCCACACCTGCTGTTTTATGTCCACATTGATGGATGCATGTGAGCAGTTGAAGGTTTATATCACCTTTTTTTTTTTGCTTTTAGGCTGCAATGGTATTTTTATGTTCCTACAGTGGAACGTGCAGCACCTGAAACACAAGTTGGGGCTGGGGCTCAAGGAACCAGCCCACCTCCTGCCATGGCAGGAAAACCATTGGGAAAAGGGCACCCGTCCCTCCCTGGGGACACCCAGGTCCTCCGGCTGGACCCCACCTGTGGGAGCGATGGGCTGGTTTGACACCACATCTTCAGGGGAGGCAAGAAGGAAGGAATACAAAAATCTTCCGCCTGCTCGTGCCACGTCAGCTTCTCACCAGCCCATCTGGCGTCTGCTTTGCTTGTACCCAAGACCTAGATTCTCCAGGCGCGTTGGGACTCTCCAGGGCCTGATCTTCCAGAGATACTGAGCTCTTGCAGCATCTATTTACCTTGTGCGGAGTTATCAAGTACTGCTGGGGAAAAAAAAAATCCTGACTGCAATAGAAGGGGAGGGGCGAGAGGAGAAATAATGTCATTTTGATGATGAAGGGCTTAATTGAAAGCCAAGGACTAATTAGATGTCCTGATAGGCTTTGGCAAGTTAAGGGAGGATGGAAAAGTAGGAAATTTGTAAAACTGTCATAGGGTGAGGTTGGCTCCAGAGGTTTGTGCTAAAGCAGAACAGAGCAGAGGCCGGACTGGATCTCCTGCCCGCGCTGCACAGCTTTGCTGCACGTGGGGACATCATTCGCACAGAAGACGGGCTTTGCAGACTCTTGATGGTAAGTTTTCCTGGTGCAAGGAAAGGGATCAAACTCCCCGCACAGCCCCTAAATGAATTGCATCGATCTGACCTCCACTGCAAGCGTCCCTGACCAGCTCTGCGCTGAGCCCAAAGCTTGAACCACTGCAGAAGACGACTTTGAGTACAGCAAGCACTAGATACCTGCCTTTGAGTAACAGATCCACCAGGACTATGCTTCTCTGAGGCATTTCAAGCTCATGAGTTCCTTTTATTGGTCTGTTTTGACTAATATTAACCCACAGGCACTTCGCTTCAGCGCTACCACCAACCTGGCTTTCCAGGGTATGCATGATCACCTAATTGCCATGCCAAGCCAGGGAGTTTCAACAGGCAACGGATCCCCACGGCTACTAAGCAGTGCCCAAAGGTCTGAACATGTAACTCAGCTACATCGTGAGCTGCGTCCCTTCATCCGAGGCACCTCAGAGGTCATGCTCCAGAATGTTAAAGGAAATGTCACTTTCTAGATGTTGAGTGCTGCCGAGCATTGCCCAAAAGTTTTTGTTGGACGGATGGCTTAGAAATGCTGTGGTGGGTTGCACGTTCCCCATCTGGAGGCATCAATGGACGATAAACTTTAGAGAGGCTCGCATTCCTG